GAAATCTTCCAATTATTCTATGAAAGTGAAACGTATACGTGATCACGATATGAGTAAATAGAAAAGATCGTATAGTTTTATAACTGCTTTAGGCTTGCTGCTTAACTTTGACTAAACAGGTATTCCGTTAGTATGCGAATGGTCACAGTGGGTGCCCAGAGACAATAAACGCCTTATCCGTCCTCTCTCTTTCATTACACGACACGGTCACGGTATACCTGCTCAGTTATTATTATTCCTCTACTGCTTCTGCGATTGCTTTACCGGGTAGTACGAAACATGTAGAATACTTACAAGGTTCTGTCCTTTTTTTTTATCAATTATAGCATGATTCGTTAATATTATTAACAAATCTTCTAAGCGTATTGATTAAAATGCTTTTTTCTTACACTGGGTTTACAATTACTTGCAATGATATCGATAAAAAATACTTTAGCTAACGGAATCTGGATTAATTTCTTTGCACATAAATTTTTCGTTTTAATTCTGTGAATATGTAAACGAGATTAGAGAAACGTTAAATAAAACTTCGCAACAGAATATTCATTACAACTTGCATCATTGAAGAGCATTAGGGAGAACGTTATAATCCTGGCTAGGTAATATTAATTTTCTCACGATTTCATCACTCTTGCCGGTATTTAAATTCCTAACAAGAAACCTCTTATTAATACCTTTCGTGATGTCAGACTCGTCTAGTTGTTAGATATGAGTAATGTTTTATTAGGATTTATTGAAAGGCTGCTGTGAAAATTCGAGATTGCTATTATAAAACAGAATAACAAATGTAAAAGCTTACCTATGCTGTAGTATAAATATTCATTTCACACGTTTATTCAAAGGAAAATTATTTCAATTTGAAGAAAATGTAATCGAAATAGTTAAAATACACTAAGATTAGAAGTGAGATAATAGATGCTGTCCACTAAGCTGGAAGAACGGTACTTCCGCAATAAATTTTCGTCACGTTTTCGTCATATTACGGCCTGACGGTAACACTAAAAAAAATAGCTTTCTGCAGCGGTAATAGACACATAATTCCAAATACTCGTCCTCGGGTTATATTGCAGGCACTTTTTTCCCTCGAAGTAGGAAATATGACAGCCGATTGGAAGGTAGAAGATACCTGGGATTTTGGGATTTTTACAAAAAATACGGACTAGTCATAGGAAAATTACATTATACATTACATATTTAAAGTAGTAATAATAATTTATTTATATTTATACATATACGACATTTAACATTATACATATACTTCTGTAAGATTAAGTAGTATGTACGTAGGATAAATTTTTGTAAACGAGTTTCAACAATGAAATCTGAATACGTGTATTTTTCATTGTTCAAGTATTGATATTCAATTTCATATTATTTCATACACATTTATATATGATATCGTATATTTGTATGCACTTCATTCTTACACATGCAAATTTCAATTTACAAAGAAAAAATACAGAAATAACTTTTTTCGTTGCAGATTTTACAACGTTACAGAATAGAATATCATCATGAGAAGCTGGATTATTACATTAATCCCATGTACACGCCGAAAGGACCATTGAATTTGACGTTCATCGATAGATAGTGGTCTTCAAATTCATACGTTCGATTGTAGTAAACAAAACAATAAATGTACAAATAAATTATTCATTTAGGCAGACAGTTTATTCGTTTGTATTTGTATTAATTGCTTAATAGCTATCTCGGTAGTACTTTGAATTTGAGCTCTCCATGTGGAGCGTACATGAACGTGACATTGTATTTCAATGGTTTGTGATGGTACTCCAATTTGTAAGATCTTATCAACTGAAAATCAATCAAAATTAAAATTATTTTACAATACACGTAGGCTGAGCCTATCGAGCATTTTATATTAGAATATATTTAAATAATTCATAATGTTAATTTACAAAACATGTGATTGAACAAATATTTTGCATAAAATATAAATAAATAATTGTGCTTCGAGAATATTGTACACATACCTTAGCCAATAAAACTTGCATTTCTAAGTCAGCGAATCTTCTACCTAAACACATGCGTGCACCATACCCATAAGGAAGCGATGCGAACGGATGCAAGGTTTCGTTCGACGATTGTTTGAGCCACCTCATCGGCTTAAATGTCTTTGCATCTGTTACATATTCTTCCATATTTCCTGTGACCACAGTTGGAAACACCACTTGTACCTATGTTAATACAGTAACGAATGAATGAGAAAAGAATGCTGTTTAAAAGTGAACTCTCGTTAAAAGCTACTTACTCCCTTCGGTACTTTGTATCCACAAATGATAGCATCTTGTTGCAACGTCCTACCGTTACCAATGACCGTGGAATAGACTCTAAAGAAAATATTTATGAAGAAAAAGAAAACATCCTGCAGCTAATCTGCTGCAAATCTGCTTCCAATCTGATTCTAATTACCAAATACCATAAATAAATTAATTTTACCGAAAAACTTCACGAATGAACGCTTTCATATAAACAGCTTTATCTAGATGACTTGTCGTGAGAGGTACAGACGGATCAGGTAGAATTTCTACGAGTTCCTGATAAATCTTCTCCTGTTCTTCAAGCCTAGTAGCTAATTGATACAATATCGAGCAAACAGCCATAGAAATCTGTAATATAATGCCCGTAATTAAATTAGGATATAAAATAATTGGCGTATTATTAAAGTATAATATAGGAATTGTTAGAACACAATATAAAAGAGCAAGAGTATTATCTTGATTACGCACTGTGTCTATTCCAACTAAGATCAGATCTAACGCAAGTATGTAAGCCATTTTGGGATTGGTTTCCTTAGCTAAAATTCTTTCGACGAGAGATAAATCGGACTCATCCACCGTCTTCTTGGTTTTCAGTCTCTCAACTGCTGCATCGATGTACTTCATGCAAACTCTGTGACATAGAACATTTATGTATATGTATATCAGATTATTATTATTCACTTTATGAACATTAAAATGTATTTAAATCTATATAAAAAGATAGATTAATGAAAATGTTCTATTAGTTCGAATCTCTAAGTGTGATAGGTTTGAATATGATTTTATTAAAATGGAAAATTACACTAACTCGACAAAAAAATCCATGTTTCGGACGTATCGCGACCAAAGCGGAGTAGGTACGTATCTCCAGTAAGGAGCTTTTAATTCAAGTTCGGCCACGTTTCTCAAAGCGAATTTCGCCGCGTCTATAATCTTTTGGGGTTCCGAATCCGGAGCCAGATTACCCTCTAAGCACCCTAATCGCACGTCCAGAGCGACGCGACCTATACCTGTACAAGTAAACAAAATATTGTCGCTTAACGTTTGATTGTTCTTTAAAATTCGAAAATTAAAAAGTTGTAGTATCTATACCAACACTCTAGAGCCCATTTATGTATTTCATTATCAAAATCCCCGGGAAGTTCATCATCTTCTCTTTTGATCTCCTGGATTCTAAAAATAAAATTCACACGTTTCATAATCTTATATAATTTCTCTACATTCCATACAGGTGCGTTTAATGCGGATTATTTTTATGAGCTGTAGAGATAAAAATAATCTTGAAAAAAGTAAATTAAGAGGCACATCTTTAATAGAAAAATTCTTGTGGGAGAAGTCCAAAGGTTGACAAGTTCTAAAAAAAGATTGTCGAAGATAATCACCTTTTTATAAAGTCAGAGGTGACCGTCTCGATGGGTGTTATATATTTCCTAACTGTTTGGGGTTGCAGAACAGGTTTCTGTACTCTCGTACGAAATTCTCGCCATAGTTCGCCGTGACTGCAGAGAAATGTACACACACATACGATGTTAACTCGTTAATGATTGATCTCAAGGTCGAGGAACATTTTGAAGTCGTTTCACCATGCCAAGGTGAAGATGAATTTTACAAAATTTCTGTACCATCGTTCGCCTATTTGTGTTTATTGATGAGTCATGAAAACTATTTAGAACCATGATTCTATATGTATACACATGACTTGAAGGATATGAAGTATAAAAAGAATTTGCAAAGTGTATTGATTTAAGAAGTTAAATAAAAATTTCCTATCATTTTCTAAAAATTAATGACTGAATAAAAGATTTTTGAATTTATTGAATCGTAAAAATGAATGATGAAATTCCACTCCTGAGGATGGAAATGGGGTAAAACGTATTTCTCTTTGTTTTAAAAATATCGCAGGCTAGGCCGCGACAAGGAATGCTAGTCATATGTGTATAATTATAGTTACACTCCGACGACGCCTGGTAAGTCCCCGAAGAACTCCTTCCTGGCGACGCTCTTGTAGTGCACGAGGCACGGCATCGACGGCCTGAACGGCGTCGGTCCCTCCTGCCTGTAGATCTTCTCGATCTCGTCAGCATCGTAAACGAACAATAAATCCGGTCGACCTATCAAACCAGTTAAACGTACGATCTTCCCGTATTCGTCATAAAACATTTGCGACACTTTGGCGGTATCTGATATTTGATACTGGCCGATCACCGGGAACAGCCGCCAGGTATTCCCTAAAATTGGTATCGGTTTCGGCCCCGGTATTTCCTCGTAGGACCGCGCTTGAATTGCATCATGGTCGACCGTGCAATCTCTTGTCGAAGCCACTGCACCTACGACATGCAATGCAGACGCGACGGTTGACCATTGGAAATCGAATGCGTCTCGAATTCAAAATGAAGGTGATCAAGTAGCTAGGCGTTTATTTGAGGAAATCATTCATTGTCAGTATAGAATCGTGCTTCAGAAGTATTTATAAACTAGCATATTATGTTAGAAATATCATAAGCACCTTTAATCTATAACATATCTCATTAATTTCATGAACGTAGGAAAGCGATCATTTGTCATTTGTCTAAGTACCTGAACATAAACCTCTTCGAAGATTGTCCTTTGTACGTGAAAGTTGACGTATCAAGGCGAATTGTACTTGTTGATTCATTCTGATGAAAAATAATACAAAGTTTATTAGGTAATTATACTAAATAAAGAATGTTAAGTAAATACTTAAAGAAGGAAACTCAAGGAGATAATTAAAAATATTAAAATAAAAAAGGAAAGTAATTAATATTAGTATTAAATATGCATGTTATATTGCAATGAAGAGAATTTTGTAAGATCCATTGATTTTTGAAGTCTTTATCTTTTACACCGTCGTATTTCTTTAATATTGCACTGCTTGCATGATCATTAAAAAGGAAATCCGCTTTCACTTTCGTTTCTCGTAATTGGTGGCCTACTCTCTTAATTTGCAGAAAAGGTTCAGTAATTATATGTTTGTTACAAGAAAACATGAACATTATGAAACTTTTTCTTCGACTTCCTGTATTCATATATTAGACACGTTTGAAATTCAAAACTAATTTACGATCACGGCATGTTTAAAATTTAAAATTAAAAGAAATACATTCCTGTCTCTTCTTTGAAACTATTCAAAAAATTACTTGATGTACATATAGATACTTCTATAAATTAAGTTTTCATAAATTTAATACATTTCAATTATTTCACATAAACACTGCAATATTAGATGCACTGTAATATTAAACACTGGTACTGTAGCGACGCAGGTGCAAGTAGCCACCGATCACTGACGGAGGTAATAAAACCTTTACCTGGAGCGCATTTGAAAGCCTTTCTCCTTCACCTTCTGTTTCAGCTATCCCGTTATAGATTTCGTCAACGGCACTAGCAGATCGGACTCGGTTGTCACAGCATTATAAATTAATTTAAAATAGTTTCTAACAACTTTCTTTACGACTAAGAGAATATTTTTTAGGAACGAGTTATTTGGCTGATTTTAAAATGAAACGGATGCACCACGAGGACGTGGTGAACGAGACTCTTGGTAAATCGAGACCACACAATCTAACTAAGGTGAACTCCCCACTTCGAAATCTCCCTCCATTGGTTAACGGTACGAATTCTCCATGCTCTGTGGAGGAATCACCACGGTGTGTTCCTCAACGAAAGTACTTACTACACTTTACGTACGTTGGATATGTCGTCACTTTCTCGATTTTAATTCGCCGCGAGTATAGAGAAAGGCGTTGAGAGTCTGTACCCTGGAACTCAAACGTCTAACCGTTTGCTTCAATTAGTAATAATTGCAAATGAAAGTGCATTAAAATAACAAATAATGCATGATAAGGCAATAATGGATCAGTGCAAAAGTTCATGCCTTTATTGAAATAAAATATTATTTCATTCACATCATTTAAATTTTGTGGTAAAATTTTTTCAGTGAGTCACCCCTATTTCAT